TTACAGAAAATGTCAAGACTCTCGTGTTACGGGATGACTGTTGATTGTTAATGCGTTCGGGAGCGTTTCTCTAAAGATATGCGACGTACTTTGAACCTGCTCAGTGAGAACTATAGCTCGAAACGGCCGCAACAAAAACAATTGTGATTTACGTCTCTAGCAGCCAGGTTCTTGATTTGTAATTGACGTCGACTGATCGGCGATACCGTTTTCGATCACTTGGCCACGTATCAACGAAGACGTTAACATTCTATAGGTAGCATATTGCAAAAAGGCAGGAAAATGATTAATACAGGGTAAGTAATGTTTTGTAATTTCAAGTTCATTGTATTCTTATATGATTCAGTAAGTTTTCATTTTCAATAATATTATCAGACAGTAGTATAAATTTATATAAATATGTGCAATTCATTATGTGATTGCCACATGAACTCATTTTTATAATTTAAGTAAATACACGATAATGTATTGTATAAAACATGTTTAAATTTATCATTGTATTGTTCATAAGTTGTATTTCAGATTAAAATGTTCATTGCGTTATTTATTTTTTACGTAATTCTAGAATTATTTGCATATTGAAAACAAAAATTTATCCAAAAATAGATTTATGTTTCTAAATAATGTAATGTAAATGTATCAATTAGTGGATATGACCCAATTTGCTGAACAAAGTGACATAAAATTTTAAATATTAATTTTAATGACTCTATTTCAATTTGTTGTTTATAAAAATTTAATAATAAATAAAATATTTAGACTTGTATATATCATTAAAGGCATAATATTTGAAATGTTTTATTCTTTTACTCAACAATTGATTCGTGTTCACTAACTATACATTTATCTTATGTGATACATTAAATTACTATTTTACATTTTAAAACTTAGATATATAATGAATTATTACAATATATTATTTATAAAACAATTAAAATAATTATATAAATATAAATATAATATTTATATATAATCCTCACGATTTATAATTTATTAAATGATATATAGTATTTAATAATACATTTGAATAAACAATAATGCTATTATAAATGTGTCATTGAACAAGGTTATACTAGTTACTACTAATATTTGAACAGAAAGTTGGCTGGTCGCACTATTTTTATAACTGGAGCTTCGAGAGGAATTGGAAAGAGTATAGCTTTGAAAGCAGCGAAAGATGGTGCAAATGTTGTTATTGCTGCAAAAACTGCTGAACCACATCCAAAGTTACCGGGTACCATTTATACGGCGGCTTCTGAAAGTAATTATCGCTTAATTTTTCAACAGATTTGGGTTTATGGTACAATCTGACAGCGATACATTTATAGGTATTGGTTTATAGATAAAAAGAATACTTACTGATTTTTATGAATAAAAAGTTTAATACAAAATTATTTTTATATTTGTGTTAAATATCAATATTAAAATTAATGAAATTATTACAAAAATAGAATATTTACATTTTATAGTATATGTTACATAGGTATATATAAATATTATTAATTCTCTTTTATTTATATTTAATAATTAATTGCTTATAAATTTAAAAATTGTCTCTAAAATAATTTTTATATTTATGTTAAATAGTACCAACTAATAAAATTGTTAGTTTTGATGCTGATATCTAATACAAAAAGAAATATGATATCTAACACATATAGAAATAGGATTTTATAAGCGATATATTAGTCTGGTACAATTTTTTTTTTATTTAATTTAATGAATCTTTTTTTAATTTAGTAGGATTAAATGAAATTTAATGAAGTTAATTCCAATTAAATCGATTAGATTCTAACATTCGAAAACCTTTAAAGATTTAATTTAAAGATTTATGTAGAAAAAATATTTTTCAGTTGAAGCAGCCGGTGGTAAGGCTCTACCTTGTATTGTGGATGTACGTGATGAGAAGCAGGTGATTGATGCGGTGGAGAATGCTGTTGCCAAGTTCGGTGGAATAGACGTTGTTGTGAATAATGCGAGCGCTATTTCTTTAACGGGTACTCTTGCAACCGAAATAAAAAGATACGATCTAATGAATAATATTAATGCCAGAGGAACTTTTCTCGTGTAGGTTGTTTTTTTCACACTGCTTGCAGGTTTTTAATGTTTAGTATTTAATTTAATATTAAATTAATCATAATCTATAACAACTGATTTGAAAAACTGGTTAATATTATCACATTCTCAAGTTCGCACTGCAAATTATCAAGAAATAAAATGTGTTGTAGATCGAAAGTTTGTATACCATATCTAAAGAAAAGCACAAATCCACATATAGTTAATATAAGTCCGCCGTTAAACATGAAACCAATTTGGTTTCAAAATCATGTCGCATACACAATGGCTAAATATGGAATGTCTATGTGCGTTCTTGGAATGGCAGAAGAATTTAAGCCTGATGGCATAGCGGTTAATGCTGTTTGGCCTAAAACAGGTATATTGTCACACACATATTAAGTTTATAAGATATAATAAGGAAATAATTGCATTTATGATAAAAAAAATATTATAAATATACATATTGCTAGTATTATTTTAAATAGTGAGAATAACGATGATAAGTAAAAACTTTGTTTACCTGAGTAACTTATAGATTGCATTTAGTATTGTCCGTGTATTGGATAATACTAAATAATTATGTAAAATTTATTTTAAATAAATTACATATTCTAGCTATATATACTGCTGCAATGGACATGCTATTAAGCTCAGACTCGAGTAATGTTTCTCGAAAGCCTGAAATTATGGCTGATGCTGTTTATGCATTGCTTTGTAAAGATAGCAAATCCATTACTGGTCAATTTCTAATTGACGAAGAAATATTAAAGAACGAGGGCATTACTGATTTTACAGACTACGCCTGTAATCCAGGTAAAATTGGGTTTTATTTAGATTTTATAGACAAATAAAAATACTAATTATATTAACATTTGCCTTGTAAAATTTATAGCAATTATAAATAAGTGAATTGTGTGATGATAATTAACTTTTAAAATTTTATATTATTAAATTTGTTTTCTAAATATAAGATCTTTAAAAATATGTTAGATATTATCTGTTGTTAAATAGTTTTTTAGCAATAAGCATTTGTAATCTTTTATTTAGCGAATAAGGACAATTTAATGCTGGACTTCTTTCTGGATGGTGCACATACTAACGTTTATAGTGCTGATAAAACAAATAATGAAGAAACTGGACAGTTGGCACATTTATTTAATGTTATCAATGCAAATTTAAGTAGCGAACTGGTTGACAAAACTGGTGCTATATATCAATTTAACGTAATAGGTAATTTCTTTTCGTTTATAGAAGAAAAGAAGAGATTATAAGAGAAAAGATATCTTTATATTTATATATACATTTATGTTTAGGAAAGGAATCTGGTGTATGGTTCCTGGATTTGAAAAATGGAAAGGGCGCTACTGGCAAAGGAGAACCGAGTCAGCCAGCAGATGCAATTCTTACGATGGATTCAGAAAATTTCTTTGCTATGTTTTCAGGTACGTGCAGATCTAATAACTTTCTCTTGAATTTATTCTTGCATCTATTATGTCATTGTATCATGTGTATAAGAGACACGGTAATGTCTCGGTGCTAAGAACATAATATGTACATATACCTGTGTGTTAATGTTATTACATTATCACATCTTAAACTTGCTTTTTGTCGACAGGCAAATTAAAACCAGTTTCTGCATTCATGACAGGTAAATTAAACATTAGTGGAAATATGCAGAAAGCAATGAAACTGGAAAAATTAATGACCAGTTTAAAATCCAAACTATGAATACAAAGATTAAAATACCACATATCTAGTATATTTTTAATGTATTGTAATATATAACACATCACTCTTTTTTAAAAAAGACGAACATAAATATTTTATATGCGCATCTTTTTTCTTCGTTGGAAAATACAAAAATATATATAAATGATAATAACTAATGAATCAAAATTTACATTAGTATCATAACTTTTAGTTGAATTGTTCAAGTCTATTTCTAGAAAACAAAACGTCTAAGAGAAATTTTGTATAATACATAAATAAGAGTAATTTTTTATAACTAGTAATAATTCTACATATAGGTTAAAAAATATTTTGTATCCATGAAAATGATATTCATATAAATATATAATTTATATATTGTTATCAGGAAGATTTGTACAATGAATAAAATAATTTTTATACATGTTGCAAAAAATATTAAAATTTGATAACTTATGAATTACTTTTCTACATAAGGACACTTATATTTTTATTTCAGCATTGGAAATATTATATGTGTAAGTACTTTTGCTTCTTCGTAAACTCCAAAGAAAATAAAGCCTCCTAATGTGATCCACATTACTCTTGGTCCAAAACCAGCAAATAATCTGTGATATTTAGTGAAATTTTAAAAAAATTGTAAACTTTACACACACAGGAAGCGAAAGAGAAGAAATGCGGAAGATACTTACCCATGAAAACCATTCTTTACATATACTCCATGAAGTATATTTAGTATCTTTAATTCTGACGAAAGTAACATTCTATTTGAGAGCATTATTCTCGTTTTTACAACATCTAATGGAGTGGTAACAGCTGCAGAGATGCCACCTAAAATTATAAAGCATACACATGTAAGTACGAAAAAATAGATAAAAATAGTATTTATGCAAAATTATAATTTATTTTCTTATTCCTATTTGGAGCGTGTAAAATTAGTATAAAAACCTGCAATTGCACCACAAATTGCACTTTCCACAGGATATATTTCTCTTTCGATATAGAAGCTGTAGGATTTTTTGAAATATTCCCATAATGGAAACTGCACAATACTAAATGGCATGTCTCGTAATACCGTACTCCAATATCCACGATATAGTAATTTGAAATCAAATGATTTTTTATCATGTACTTGTGCCTGTCTCCTCTGTTTTATAACTTCCACTGGAACTCGTAATAAACATGCTACCTTTGTATATAGAATAACAATTAATATACAGCTAAAACTTATTCTTTATAAATAAACTGGTTAATTTAATAGCATTCAGTCTGTAAATAATTGAGCTTAGAGAATACTTTGATTGCAAAATTGAAAAATCTTAGCCATGTTAAATTTATGTAGAAAGCAATGTTTTTCTAATTATTATATAATTATTATATAATTATAGCTATAAAAGAATTAAGAGAAAAACAATAATTGGAAAACATTGCTGTATATATCAACTTGACATATTTAAAATTTTTTTTATTTCAGAATCAAAATTTTTTTAAGTTCAATTATTTAATGTAAATTGAATACCATTAATTTGATTGATTCATTTGTCATAAACAAGATAATAATTATTAAAGTCTCACGATTTCTGATATCGCGGCTGCTCCCATGTGAAGTGGAGTATAATAATCCATAGAAATTCTAGGTTTTAATATAGTCTTAATTTCTTCATATGTTAGAAAAAATAGTGCGGCTGAAATGTAAAATGTGTTAATGTACGAATGTATATAATCCATAAATTTATTGATTTCTGAGTGTATTGCATATTTTTAGTACCTGTTGGTGCTGAACCAACTATGACTGGACCAATGCCTTTATAAAGACCTGTGAAGCCTCCAGTCTTTAAAAATCCCTGTGCACTTTGTAGTCGTGTTTTCAATGTATCCAGTGGAAACAATGCAATGTCTACGAATGTGCCTGCAGTACCTCCTGCCTATTTAAACATAATTATATGTAAATGATAGCAGATAGATAATTCAATAACTTGAAAATGTTAAAAAATATATATAAAGGCAAATCAGTAAAAATCATACAAAAAGCAAGCAATGATCTTGACATATGTTGTCAAAGTCATGACCCTCTTTCAGGATTAATTTATTGTTTATTAAAAAATTATTAACAATTAAAATCAATTATTCTGATTTTTTGAACAATATTTTTGCAAATAATATAAAAATATATTATAATTAACAAAAAGAAAATAATTAAGTTAGAGAATTGTAATTAATGCACATGCATTATTAATTATAATATTACAGCACTGACTCTCATTTATCCTTATTTTTTTATAATTATATATATATATACATAAATGTATATTTTAACTTTTTCCTTTTTTTTAATATTTTATTAACATTCGTTTAATCGTGATATAAAAGGTTGTTTAATATAAAATTTCAATGAAAAAAGAAGAGAGAAATCAATTGTAGCTTATCTTATTAATTATCAATAGATACGTGAAATGGATAATTGTACAAGCAAATCTAGTTAATTTTTCTTGTTTTACAATTACGATGTGTTCAACAATAATGTTTATTCAACATTAATGTCATTCAGAAAAAAAATAAGATTTAAGAATGATAAAATACATGACGCAACACGTGTGTGATATATTGTATATGTATCAATACAAAACGTAAACTATGCATAATTCACTTACAATAAGTGAAGTAGCGAAGACATTTCGCACGTTCATTCCTTTCTCTATTCCTTCGCTCGTTGTCATCTTGTCTTTAAGTTACTTCAAAATAAAAATAATTTCTATACAATTCCCACTCGGCTATCACATAACCTCGTCGTTTGACTCGATCGAGACAGACGTGCACAAATGCTGAAAACGATTGCACAGCAGAAAATTATTTCATCAAAAGACTTCGTCATAGATATTTTACTTTTTGACATGTGTGTATATGTATATCTTAATATGAATAAATATAATGCTGATTCTACAATAAGTCGGTAATCGACAGTCATAAGTCTTATCAATAGCCAATTGTATGACTAACGCTGATTGGCCAACTTCATCGATAAGACTAAGATAAATAAATTTAAGATAAATAAATAAAAATCAGAATCATGTCCAGGATTGGCTAAGTTAACTTTTTTTTAAACTAAATTAAGTTAAAGTTAACAACCTTGAAAATTTTATTTAATTAAAATACAAGTTAATCCATAATAAAATTAATTGAATTAAAAGTTAAGTTAATAAAAAAAGTAACTAAAAAGTTAAAAGTTAAATTTGTTCAAACAACTAAAAAAAAAAAAGAAAAAGTTTGACTACTTTATATAATTTTCCTTTCTTACAGCTTATTTATTTAATCTAGTTATTTTTGTTCATAAGTAACGAATTATGCAATATAAAATTATTAAATTATATACTCATTAGCCTCTCGCATTGTATCTAAGGATTGACTTAAAAAAAATCGAAATTAATAGTTTATAGTTACCGATAAAATGTAACTAAGTTAAGTTAAAATTAATTTACTTTTTAACTTAACTTTTATCTTTTTAACTTAGCACTCCAATCTTGTTTTCATAAATAAGTTGTATTATCAAAATACTTACGCAGTTCAGCAATTGTCAACAATATAAGGCCGCGTGCGACACATGGTGTGACACGCGTATTTTGATGATGCTATTCCAAACAGCACAGAATATTTGATAAATATTTAGTAATATCACCGACGAAATACTATTAAAGACCGTGGGCAAATTTTCGGCGGTATAAAAAGGGCCCTGAGGTAATTGAAGAACGCTGACATTATCGACAATTGATATAAATTTGCTATAATTAACATAAATATTGGATTCATGCATTATTAAATTTATTATATTTTATTATATAAATGTTCCATAAATAAATATGCTTGTAAAGCTGTAATATCCTATATATTGTAGAAAAATTACAATTTTTTTCTCTACAGTTATCATCTCTATTGATAATCAAACTTTGACGATAACACTAAAATCACAATTTTAAAGAAAAATCGAGTATTATTGAGTTCTAAATGCATAAATATGTTTTATTATAAACTAATAAATCATAAAATAAATACAATATTATTAGTTTTTATTCTTAATTACAATACTTTAATATTTACAAGAACGCGAACTCTCATAAGGATGTCGGTCTTTAATAGTATCTTGTCGGTGGTAATATTCATATTTTTCGAAATTTTATACAGACTTTCTATACATACTTTATATAAAACTTTATTCGAAATATTATTAAAATATAGACTAAATATATAATTTATGTAATATTTATGATAAATATAAATAAATATTAATTCTAATAAATATTTTTTACTTGGATTA